TTTTAATCACCCTTTTGCTGTTTATTCCAGGAAAAAAAAAATTAAGTCCTTAAACTTGCATTTAAAATTTCTTTCACTAAGGATTGAAGGAAACTCACCTGGTGTTGTAAAATACATCAATCCAAAGGTTCTTAATAGCCAGAAAGCAGTTAACAAGCAATTTCCGAAAGTGATTAGAAAAGGAAGTATGTGAACCTAGTGTCCTTATAGGCACCGACCACGGTTTGAGCAAGATGGCTATTCCCTCATCTCCCAGAGCTCTAAACCTGCCAGAGACCACTGTCTTGCAGTCTTCTTGTGAGGAGCAACTGTCTGGAGCACTTGTGGGTGATCTCAAATCCTCTCCTTGTCCAGAGAAGAATTACAAAGAGCTGGTCTACTTGCTGGCTCTTCATTCTGCCAATCGTCGGCTGTTTTTTGCAGAGCCATCTTCAGTTCGCCATTTCTTCCCCAGAAGTCCTTATTTAAATTGTATTCACTCTGCTAAGGCTCCCTTTCCCCCACTTCCAAAACAGTTTATTTCTATGAATATCATTCTGCATTTCTCTGCCTCTTAATCTTAACCATTCCTTGCTCTGGAATGGTTAACTACATTCTTTGTAATTTTGTAGACAGAGATCTTTGTAGAGAGAGATCTTATTCTCTGTCTACATATAATGCAGTAGCTCTCTCATTCCTCATTTTCTGCACTGACCATTTTCTTATGTGCATTTTTTTTCTCATTCATCCTTTTTCATACTTTGCACTACACTACTCCATGCTCTTCTCTGGCACTGTGTAACACAATTCTTTTCCTTCTGTTCTAAACAACTTCCACATGCTCTTTTCCTACATCCATTCATTCTGCTGGGAGATTAATAATACTCCTATAAATTAAGCTTGATTCCCGATGACTCCATGAGCATGTTCATTTCCTGGCAACAGTAAGGAAATGGGTTGTCATCACCTTCTTTCAGAGCATTTGTCCAACTTTCCAGTCTAGTTGACAACTGGAATTGTTTTGATGTTCTCCCACCCAAATACTCTTGGTGTGACTCTGATAAGGATTTGTATATCTATCAGTCAAGGGCAATTAGGTACAGCCATTTGCTGTGACAATGGAAATAAAAACAGGCGTCTTGTTCTCAGTAGACATATTCAGTTTTCCTATTTAGAAATCTGTTCCCTTTTTTCCCTTTATCTTGGGCTCTGTCATTGTATGGTAAGTTTGGGGAGTCATAAATACTTGCCAAACTATTACAATTCTACTAATCCAGATTTATCACATCACTATGGCTGGCCAAAGCATTCATTCATTGAATTTATACTTCTTTCATTGTAGATAAACTGCTGGACTGCTAGGTATGTTTTTCAGTAGTTAACCCTCCTGGGATGGCTTCCCTCACCATACCTCCAGGCAGAGACCATGTATGCACAACCATGTCCTTCAATGTTTGTCTTCTCTCAACCATCTTGCACTTGAAGCAGACCCTTTCTTCATTCAACTTCACCCAAAGGACAGGGTAATCCCAAATGTACTTACTATTGCATAATATTGGTTTTGTTCAGTCCCAAGGCCATGATTTGGCTAGGTTTATCCTACAAAACATCCGATACATCTAAAGGCACCACACACCCATCACAATGCTGTGCTGCATAAAATTCATAGTGCTTCCCCCCCCCCCTTTGGGGATGTTCCCGTGACCTGTCTGAAAGAGCTTTTACCAAGCTTCACCTGGGTAACCTACCAGCGTAGAGTGTCAGGGAGATGACCTTGAGAGAAAAAGACAAGACCTATTATATAAGCAAAGAGGGCTGAAATATTCCTTAAGTCCTTGGAAGGAAGATAGTATTCAGAAGAGACTCAGGCAGGTTCTTCTCAATTCACTGGGTATAAGAGGGAGGAGAGGCAAAGCACAATCAAGGCTTGCAAGATTCTGTTGCTGTAGCCTATCTCAATAAAGTATAATTCTAAACTTTCTGTGGAGTTGGTTTCTTGATCTGATCTACCTCATAGAGCTTGTAAAAGGCCCACCCTTTCATTAATTTGCCCCTAGTTTCACCTACCAGTCAGCTGATTTTTTTTTTTATCATATCCGTTTGCTATTCAAGTGTTCTCTAGGAAAATCGCAAGGACTCTGGTTTATCGACAGATATAAACAGCAGACTCAACAACACATTTCATTACAGCCTCCGCTTCAAGTATTTTTTTTTGCTGAATTATACTAGCTTACTGAGTTGAATAGCTCCATAAAGTCAGCTCCCCATTTTCTGCCAAAGCTCACATCCTCAGACTTGATCATTAATTTTATTGAACTTACTCAGTGATTCTATGACTGTTTTATTATTTCTAAAAAAATGACTAAATTAAACACAAAACATATGACATTAATCATTTCTAAATTAATATTGCTCACAATAGCATCTGCATATTAATTATTTCAAAGCTGAAAAAACACACAAAAAATGGCCAATACTATTCAGCCTTTTCCATCACTGGTGATGATGTGTCAAGCTGTGCTGGAAAATTGTGGCAGATTTTTGCAGAATTATTAACAGTCCAGGGATCATCCTTATACTGCTGTTCACTGGTTCATCTAATCCAGTCATTGGAAGTTAGATACAGTACAGTACATAGTCCCTAGGGAAGAGTTTTCGCAACACAGTTATGAGATTCTTTAACTTGAAATGTTATGAACTGACCTGTTCCATGCAAGACATGTGCTTTATACTAAGTATTGACTCTTCCCACTTTAAAACACTCTATGGATTTAGAAGACCTTTTATTGAATTAAGCAATTTTATGAAATGTGGAATACCTGGATGGAGAATTTGTGGGTTTGGTGGAATAGCTAGGTCATAATGTGGAAGACCAAATTCAAAGTGAATTTAGAGCAAAACAGTCTCATAAATTATTTGGCTGGGCATAATAAACTCAACTGTATGACTCAATACCCAAAGAGATGTTCATCTTCAAAACGCTTTACAATTTTTAACTAGCCAAAGCATTCTTGTAAGATAGATAAATATCATATCCCCACTTGAAAGCAGCTTCTTGAAAAGTTCAAGAAAACAAAGATTATTTAAGCATCCATTTTCACAAACAATTTAGCACTGAAAATATTCTTTTACTGGCCAAAGCACTCTCAATTTTGAGAGATATAAAACCAAATTGAGAAAGCATTCCAAAGGAAAAGTGTTGAAGCTTCAAGCCACACAGGCATGGTACACGCATTCTCAGGTCATGTCCAAATACAACTGCCCAAGAACAGTTGGGAACAGAATGACTGAGCAGGAAGGCTCAGTCTTGGACTTAAGTGGTTAAGTGCTGCCTAGAATCTTCTCCAAAACATGCACTTGGCTGATTGTAAAAGAACCACAGAACTACCATCTTCTATATGTTTAAAGGTGAAAAATCATTTTAAAAAGTCCTGCACTACTTAAGGAAAACATCTCAAATATCACATGAGTAAAAACAGAAATGGAAAAAATGAAGAGATTCAAATAAGAGTGCCTCTGGGTTACTGTAAACTGAAAAAGCTCAGATGAAACGTACACCACAGATTAGGAAAAGTGAAATGGGAACAATAGTATGATTAATAAGCAAATTAAAAATAACTCTTGGAGGCAAGGCTTCTTTCAGAGAACAGGATCCAGATTTAGTCATCCTTTAATAGACCTATTGAAATCAATGGGATTTTATTGACTGACTTTTCAATAGGTCTATTCCTGAGTAAAACTGCTTAAGAGAATAATAAGCAAAGTGCAGGAATAACCATTTCTTATAATGGACCAATATAATGTAAGTAGAGTCCTCAAAGATCAATCTTTTGTCATTTGTTTCTAAGTATTTAGGAGCAATGAAATGGCCAAATCAGATGATTCAAGGCAGTTAAAATAATATAAAAATATTGTGAATAGGTGTTAAAAAGGCAAACAAGTTTCAATGCAAGTCAGTGTAGGGTGATAAAACACTGAAGCAAGACATCTACATTCCATATAAACTCTGCAGGGCTCAGCATGAAGAGGAAAGCAATCATCGGTGTACTGTAGATATCTAGAGGACAATGGCAACCTAGCATGCAGCAACAGTGGAAAAAAATTATAATCAAGATTATTAGTAATGGGACTGAAAATTAAAACGCTCCCAGTATCTTTATGCAAATCTGTGGTGCTGTAACATCTGGAATATAGTACTAGTCACTGCATTTAAAACCGGTATTGCGGAGCTGCTAACGGTGAAGAGAAAGACAACTAAAACAAGCAGAAGAACACAGCAACTTCCCACAGAAAAAAGTTGGTGGCCATCAAGCAGCTTATGAAAATGCTGGGAAAATGCTGCTATGGGTCCTTGGTCTGATCTAGCAAAACTCTTCATGTTCTTCTATTGACTTCTAACATTCATAATATTGAGTTCTAACATTCAGATCATTTTTAGTGAATACAGGAAGCTCCCTGATGCAAAGCTAGGTCCACATAGCTCAATACTATCTATAGCTTTCCAGGATATCAGGCTAGAGTCTTTTTTACTGAAGATGCCAGAAATAAAACTTGGAACCAACTGTATCCAAACCACACGCTCTACCCTGACTCATTTTCTTTCCTTTCTTAAAATACTAAGAGTTGCATACAACTATGTCCCATCAGACAGTGGAACAGATTTCTTACTCTCCTGGAGCCTTCCACCTTCCCAAATCTGATTGGAAAGTTGAGGAGATCTTCTGATGGAGATCTCTGAGGCATAAAGATGAAAGGAAAGCTGTGCATTGTTGGAATGCATTCTACATTCCTTTTTCTCTTTCTACCACTGAAGAATTTAATGCAGGCTTGAAATTAACAACAGAAAAGGGGAGAGCACTTCTTACATTTGTGAAACAACTGAAAAAATCTTTACACAATAGGAAAAAATAACATTCAATAACTACATCTTGAAAGGGAAGGCCAAATTATCACGCCAATCCTGAGAGACCAGAAAATCATACCAGTGTGGCTTAATAAATAAAGCAGCAGTAATGATGTGGACAAAAGAAGTAAGTTCTTAGGATCCCAATTACTAAGGTGCAGGTTCATCACATTCATGAGATTCTACTGCCACACCTACGTGTGCATGTCTGATAGTGCGGCCATGAAGTTTATAGCCATCCAGAGTTACTAAAGCCACAGTGCCTGGTTGCATATCCTCTGCTGGCACATGACACACTATTTCATGATCATAGGGGTCATATCTGCCACCAATTGGGTTCATTTTTTGCAGGCCATGCTTAGTAAAGATGCTTTGTAGTTTGACTTCTATAAGAGTCAGGCCTTCACAGATCTTATTCAGGGTCAGAGTTGGGTCATTGTCTTCTTCTACAACACTCTCCAAGGTTGTCTTCAGGATATCTGCTACTTCTACCAGATCTCTACAGAAACTCTGGATGCCTGTGGACATACAGATATGCAAAAAGTCAGGATGATAATTCAGGAACATAAAAACATTTTGGAATCCTGGATTGTCTAAAATAGGACTTCCCTAGGCTTCAGGGACAGCAGTGTTTCTGCTGATTTGATCTGATGCTTCCACCAAAACTGCATATTTCTTTTAACCTGTAAGAAACTGTTCAGTCATATCAATCCTGACTTCTTTTGATTAAGTTTCATTTTATTGTCATCTCCAGGTCACTAATGAGTCAACCCAATTATTTTACACTCCATTTTATTTAGTAATATGGTGCAATAAAACTCTGTCTCATGGGCATATTACTGACCTTTGACCCCCAATCCCCGAATTATTTCATCCAATTTTCCCATAGTTCAGGAGCTGTCAACTTTCCCTGGGGACAGGGGCCACAAAACACTCTCTTGATAAACCAGGGTTTTTTTGTTTGTTTGTTTTGTTTCCCCCCACCAAAGTTAGGAATGGAAGGAGGATACCTTCTAGGCAATAAACACTCCCATTTCCACCCTTTAACTCCTTCCCCCAATGCTCTGAAATTATACAGTGGGATTTTGACAATAAAATACCTGAATTTCAATGCCTTTGACTTCAGGCTGCTTTTGGGGGCAGGGAATGTAAGGGTTGAAATGGTAGTAGAACCATCATGCTGAAAAGAACCATTTAGCTGCCAATTTTGGTGGCACAACCGTGGAGTGCCAGGGAACTTGCAACCAAGCTGGTGGAGGCATGCATAAGGGCTATGATTTTACACATTACTGACCATCAGGAGTCAGTGTATAATTGGTTTTGTCCTTATTGGTGGTCAGCAGTGTATAAAACCAGGAATATATACAGGTAGTCCCCAGTTTAAGAACGAGTTCCATTCCCAGGGTCTGTCCTTACGTCAAATCTGTATGCAAGTTGGGACAGTATTATTGTATGATACTGTATATGTAGTATTGTATATTTAACTCAGACTATTGTGTATTTAACTCGAACCACTGTGTATTTAACTTGAATCATTGTGTATTTAACTTGAATTTTGCTATAATAGGCTCTATTGAACTGGGTGTTTTTACCCAGGGGACTACATGTACTGAAACAGCACCCCCGCTGGGGTGGTGTCGTCTTGGAACTTCTAGTATGAGGGCATGATATAAAATAACAGCTTCATCTCACTGGTGTGAGAGTTCAAACTGAGGAAGGTCTATAGTACTCATAAATAGGCTAGGAGTTGCCCATCCCTGTTATGTGTGGCATAGTAGTTACGGTGTTAGAAGGTCAAGATTCATGTCTGCCCTCAGACATGGAAACTCACTAGAGGAGTTTCTCTCTTAGCCCAGTACATCCCTGGATCCATCTAACTGTCCTCTAAACCATTCTCTTGTACTAGCCATTCAGATAGCAGGGGGACCCCTCTTGCACCCCTTGTACCCCTCACTTCCCACTGCAGCAAACTCTGTTCGTTCTGGCACAACACTAGCATCTGTTTACTTACCAAAAATCTTAGCATCCTCAACAAACTTTTGTGTCCTCCGCCTGACATTTTCAGAATCTGTTAGGGCTCTCTGGTACCGTTCCTACATTCAGGGGGAAAAGCAGAGTCAGACTAAAGAATTCTAATCCAAGTAACAGAGGATGAGTTTCTATATTGCCGCCAAGAATATTTAATGCGGCTTGGTCAGACAACTTACTTGTAGGCAACAGATTTGTTATTTACTGGAAAAAAAATAGCCTGGCATAGGAATTAGCAAATAGTATCTTGATATCTACTGCCCTACAATCTCCACTTCTCCTGGTGGAATTCCATCTGGCATTCACAAAAGCGACAAGCTTCATTCCCAGATAGGGAATGCACAACCCCGCCTTAAGCAGGATCCTCCTGAGGAGAAATGCTAACTTTAGCACATAGCAAAAGAAGAGATTCCCCACAAATCCTCCCTCTCCAGGTTTTCTCCCACAACCCCTCCTTCTCCTTGCTTTTTTTAAAACTGCAGGTAGGAAATAGCTGAGCATCATGGCTAAGGAACAGCAAAAACCTCTAATGAAAGGCTACAATCTGCAAGAAGCTGGAAAAAACCCAGACAAGCGAGAAAGGAACTTTAGCTTCAGGCATTAGGTTTCCTAGGAAACACGTAACAAGCTCAGCTAGAAATTCTGCAGATGATTTATTTTGATTGGGAACATTTTTTAGTCCAATTTATTTTTTCTGGTGTTTATTGTGTCTGAACAAGTCCAGTAATTCTATGTTGTTTGCAATTTGGACCCTCTTTGCAGAAGTTAGCTCTTCATAGGAGCAGAACAGCATCACCTGATCTTCTGCCATAGCTTTGCTATGGAAGTTCCTTCTAAGTTGCTACCTGAGATTGGAACCACTTTTATCTCATTTGCCATTGAATGCTTGCTTCTGACTATTTAAAGGGTTCTTTCTTCGCTCTTTTCTGTTTTTCTTTAACAACAAGGCTTAATTTTATTTATCCCTTGTAAGATTGGTCTATCTCCCAAACCACGGACAGAGAAGGGAGAGTTGATTTGAGCCACATACCTCAGTGTTTTAGAGGCAGGAAGTGGTGATATAGAAATTATTTCATGTTTTTTTTTCTCCTTTTAATTTGCTAGAAAACAACACAGGTTGTGGAGTCACTATCTCTCTTACATGTTGGGGTTGGGGGATGACATTCAGTGAAGCATTCCCTGGAAGATAGGTGGTGGCAGCAAGAACTACTAACCCCCATACCAAGGCAGAGGTAGAGCTAAGGTGTGTAGATCTGGAGGGCTTTTGGAAGAGATGGGTTAAAACTTCCAACTTTTCATCCTTATGGGCTCAGCCCTGCCACTATATTCATAAATAAGAAACAGGTAAAAGGACCGTTTCAGAAACCCATTCATGGGTCTGTGAAATAAAATAAAATATTTTAAAATTTCTCAGCTTCAATTTTTAAAACAGTAAGTATCAACAGAAATGACCCACATAAACCAAAGCTCTTTGGGATCCTCAATCATTTTTAAGAATGTAAAGGGGCCCTGAGACCAAAATGTTTGAGAACCACTGATATAGATCGATATATGCTTATGCAACACAACAGCAACAAAATTGGGAAAATGAGAAAACAGGGGCTCTTACATAAATTGTTTCTTATAATCTGTGATAAAATGTGCACAAGAAAAAACATTATTTGCCAAAGTAATAGATAGTGAAGTTCTTCAAAAGCTATAATAGTAGCCCCAGCAAATAGCATGGATGGATCATCTAGAAAGCTAAGCAGAGTTGGGAACTGCACTTGAGAATGCCAAGACTATGAGCAAGAAAAGGGGTGGGGAGAGGGGAAAATAAAATAAATAAAATAACCCCTAAAAGGCAGCTATGAGAAACCACTTCTTTATCATGCCAAGAAACCTGCATGAAAGCATCCTGTGAGTCACCAGGAGTTGAGCTAGACTCGAAGGCAACTTTAAACTCTGCAGACTTCTTCCTCACTTACTGACCAATAACAGTAGTTGGACTTACCACGGAGTAAGTCACTGGAAGATGGCCTGGACAAGAAAAGGTTAACTCCACCTCTTCTAGCTAGAAGCTGGACTTAAGACTTCTTCCTGTCCCATGAAGGAAATCCCCTCCCTTCAGTCACATGTATTGACTTCAGCTGAGTGTGGTTCAATTCTTCCTTTATTGTATATTCCACTATAACAAAACTGGTAAGACACATGGGAATGGAAGAATAATGTGTAACTGTTAGTGAAAGACAGCTCATATCCCAGCCCTGAGGTTGCTTGGTTTCCTAATCTTCTGTTCTAAATAGGGTGGGATTGTCAGTTCCATCTTCCAGTGACCAGAGAAGTACTTCAGAGAAAACTCTACTATTCTTAGTCACTGGAGACACAGCTGACAGGAAAAGGACATACTACAGCAAAATTTGCAGTAACAATTTATAGCACTCAGCATCAGTTAAGTTGAATTTACTTATTTTATAATGTTTTATAAAGTTAGAGAGTTCCACCTGGATAGCTGTCTCTCTTACAGAACATACTATGAAGGAAGGAGACTGTCTCTTGCTGGCTGTATACACCAGGGCAATGCTTTCTCCAACTCAACTGCCAAATGTAGAGTGGGAAAGTTTGTAGGAGATAAAACATTAGCACTTTTGTCCTTCACCATATGATTAGGTGGATTCTTAGAGCCCTGCACACATTTAATCTGAGCCAGGTATGTTTTATAGGGTTGGCTGGATTTGAACCTGATGTTGAGAAGCACAATCTCTAATGCTTGATGGAATCTGGGAATTAACCTTCAGCACAAAGTAAGGATCTAGCCTCAGAATTACTTGGTCATGAAATGTATAGATAACCAAGGGTACCCTTAACTTCCCAACCTATCAAGCTGAGGTTACAGCTATCAAAAAGGCCTTCTTCCAGATAAGCAGTGCCCTTTCCTCATCCAAGAGAACACAGCCTAAAGCAGATGCCTGTATATGCAGCATAGCCCTCTCTCTAGTCCGTAGAAAACCCAATACTTCAGGAACCCTTGCTGACAGTACCACAAGTTTCTCTCTTTTGTATCACCGTTCTTGGAGCAGGTTATCTGGTGGTTAAGATAGTTTTACCATAAACTGGAAGATCCATGTTCAGTATCTGCTCTTATTCAGTTTCCGGGCACAAAGTTGTAGCTATCCTGGACCAGTAGCTTGAGACACAATGTCCATATGTTCTGAAAGATACCACTGGTGTTCCTGTCATCTCCACCATGGCACAAAGCCATGGTCTCTGGGGCCAAGGTTATTAGAATCAACTGTGCTTTAGGTAACTTCCTTTACACACCATCTCAGATAGCAAAGAAAAAAAACAGGAGTGCAAAGAGTAGTCCTTTCAGTCATGATGCCACCAGGGTGTTAGTGCCTTCTGCTGCCTTGTTGTTATGGATCAGTCTGAGTCTTGAGATGCAGAAATTGAAGAGCTTGACAGAACTTCACCCTGCACCACAAAAATTAGCTGAAGAGTGTGTACTTGAGGAGACATGGGTGCAGGCTGAGTCAGCTGATCCAAAGACTGAGGTACATAAAGTCTGGAGCCCAGCAACACATCACAAATTAAGAAGAGCAATGGAAGAGCCATCTACTTGAAATAAAGAATTATGAACCAGTTAATTAGTCAAGCTGATAGTCAGAGGTTAGAAGAGATGGCTTTTTGACTGGCTCTTTGTAGCAAACAATGTTTGAATTTCCTACCTATGACTTTGTCTGGGTGCTATTGTTGGATTAACTGGAACCTGGAAATGGACTATTGCTTGCATGTAAGCAACTAGACATCCCAAAGGTTTTAATCTAGCCATCAGTACTCTGAAAGAACCTGTTCTTCCTCAATAGCAAGTTGAGTGCCATCCAACCTAAGAGGCCTATCCTCCAGCGCTATATCATAAACTGTTTTATACTGTCTATCCATGTGGTTTTCTTGGTAAAATACAAAAGTTATTTACCACTGTCTTCTCCTGTGCAATATGAAGCCTTTGCATTTTTACTGAAATGATAATCTGCTTCCAACATGTTTTATATCATTGCTGCCTAATATAGGAGCATACTTGCTTTAGCTAGGCATCTAGGGTGACATTCATGCCTTTGGCAGCCCTGCTGAAGGTATATACTCTTGGTGTGCCCTCTTGTTATTCTTCACTTATGGGTCCCAGGTACACCCCCATTCACCATGATGAGGTATTACAGTAGGACTTATTTTTATTTAGTTATTTATCATATTTATATAGCTGCTCATCTCACATAAAGTGAAGAGGTCAAGGCTGGTGTAAATACAGACTCCTTTAAAAGGCCCATGGAAGCCACCATCATGGTGAATGACGCCAAACTGAAATGGAAGGCTCTGAATTGAAATTGATTGCCTTCATATGCAGGCAGTGGGGCAGGGGGTGTTCTGACTCATGTGTGTCAGCCAGCCTCTGAGAAATCTACCAAATATAAAAACCTATCTTTCATGTGAGTATTTTTTCATTTCTATTGTATATCCCTAGTAATCTGTTCTTGCAGTTGTGCTCTCAGATATGCCAAAATATATGCAGTTCCCCACCACTTAAGAGATAATGGCAACATGCTGAAGGTGTTTACCTTGTTTCTTTTCTCCTCTCCCTAGCTATTGGGTGGGTGCTTTGGTAGTTGAGGTTGGGAATGCTGTATGTGCTTCCTTGTCTACTCTTGTCCAAAGGTGGGTTGGGATTTTGGTCTTTGATACAAAGGATAGTACATTACTTTCCATTTATTTGGTTTCCTCCCTTGGGCTATAGAAAAAAAGTCTTAACCTTGTTTTCCAAGAGCAACTCAACCGAACTCAACTCAGCTGCCTCTTTGAACAGCTTCATCGTGCTTTGCTATGAGATTGGCTTTCAGTCTGTGGCCCATCTCCCAATGCCTAAGCCATACAGTGCATTTGGAAAGTATTCAGACCCCCTTCACTTTTTTCAATTTTGTTATGTTGC